ATATAAATTAATGTAAAATTCATATAAAGAAATATATTTATATATATATATATGTATGTGTGCAAGATAAAAATAAGTAAATCAAAATTACAATTTAAATTATCAGTAGCCTGTTAATACATCATTTTTAATTTGGGTATTTTCCCTCTTTGTTCTAACAATAGTAATAACTATTTCTGGACTGCAGCATTTCTAGATCAATCCACATCATAAGATTTGTGTAATGCTGATGACGCAGCTAATTCCAAACCTGAACTCAAAATTTTGAGAACTGAAATCTTTCTGTTGGAGGGCTTCCATATTGGATTAAGTGAACACCTTTGCTTCTACCTCTGTTCTCTACAAGACATTGTCTCACAGCTCTTCCTATCACAACAGTATAAAAAGACTAAAATTAGCTCGTTGAGCTGTTAATTCAAATAGATAAGGGATTTAAAACTTAACAAAAGCCACTTAAAATATTTAAAGGTAACCTATTTTGTTTTCAGAAACATGCTGTAAAAATGAAATACTTATGAATAATACAATATATGAACTAAAAATTTTACAACATCAAAAATGGGAAATAACAGAGTACAAATATTTTTTTTTTATTAATCTCCTCTGTTTAGAGCTTCAAACAGAACTTATCAAGGGAAAAGTGTTTTGAAGCCTCAAACCAAGATGCCAAACTAGAAAAACATAAACATGTTTCATCCTAACAAATTCACTGAGACTTTAAACTGTTTTAATTGAATTCGCTATTCTTTAAAGCAAAAACCAAGGGCTGTCTCGACTGTGAGAATTAAAAAACTTTTTTCTTTTAAAATCTAGTCAAAGTTATAAAAAGAAAGGAGCAGTTTTGCTGAAAAAGGATAAATGTTTAAAACAGAAGATAGAACTAAAAATAATACCTTTCAGTTGACGCTAACTTCTGCAGCAAAAAAGCTGTGAAAATTCCTGACGCATAAAGTTTGCCAAATTTCAAATGAACCTAACAGAGAGGCAACCAGAAATTGGACACTTTATTACAAAGAATAGCAAGGCATTTCAAAACCTGAGACAAGTCATCGCTATCTTGTTGCTATGCCAATGGAGGTTTCTGGAAAGAAGGGGGTGCGGTGGGGATCGTAGTCAGAGCTAATCAGTTAGAAAATGGCATTGTTTTTAACCCTCTGAGCGGCACAGGATTTTAGATCCGTCATGAAGCCCGGTATTTAAACAGCATTTATTAATTGAGTTTATATATTTACTTATTTTAGACTGCATTTTTATAAACTTACATTCATTAAGATGATACACTGCTCGACACTGAAAATGCAACATCAAGAAGGAGTGGTCAAAAAGTGATGAAATTTGGAAAAAAGACAGACAGCAAGCAGCAATAAGTGATCTTTATTTCAAAATGATAGTCAGAATACAGAGCGAGAACAGCGTCGAGTCAGTAGGATGTAGGACCACCGCGGACAGCGATGCACGAAGAAACACGTCTAGGTATGAGTCAATAAGAGTACGGATGGTATCCTGAGGGATGGCTCTCCATTCCCTTTCAACCATATGCCACAGTTCATCTTCTGAATGAGACAGAGGCAGAGTCTGCAAACGGCGTTCAATCACATCCCACACATGTTCGATTGGTGACAGGTCAGTAGAGTACGGTGGCCAGGGAAGCATCTGTATACCTTGCAGAGCATGTTGCCAGATGCGAGCACTGTGTGGTTGGGCATTATCCTGCTGAAAATTGCATTAGGCAGCCCCTGAAGCTAGGGAATTGCCACCGGCCGCACATTATCTAAGTATCATTGGGCCGTCATAGTGCCCTGAATCTGGAATCGTAGGCAATAGCGCCCCAAACCATTATACCACGTTGTTGCACGGTGGGGCGTTCCACAGTTACTGCTAGATTAGATCTGTCTCCACATAGACAGCACACACGTATCGGGCGACTGTCACTGGATAAACAGAAGCGTGACTCATCTGAGAACATGTTTTGCCTTTTTTTCATCCACATCGCTCCAGTCTGGCACCATTCTAAATGTTGGCGTCTATGCTGTGGGGTCAATGGCTGTCTTTCTAATGAACGCTGTGAGTGCAGGCCACGTTCAACCAATCGACAAGAAATGGTTCTGGTCGACACGGGAACATCCAGGATACCTTGCGCATGCTGCAGAATCGCGGTACAAGTGACTTACGGGACCGCCACAGCTTGTCTGCGGATGTGTCGATCCACGCGTGCTGATGTCACTCTGGCTGCACCTGCACCCCTCCTTTTTCTCACATTTCCTTGTTCCAACCATGTTCGGCATAGCCGATGCACAGTGCTCACATCCATGTGGGTATCAGCTGTGATTTGATGTAAGGAACAACCTGCCCTTCTCAGTCCGATCACCATACCCCTCGTAAAATCGTTTATCTGCTGGAAGTGCCTTCGTTGATGGCGGACTGGCATTCTCTCCTATTACACATATCCTCCGGGACAAAAACCAACTTTCTTTGATAATTTGTCTGGCAGAAATAACAACATGAATATTGCCCATTCTGAACATTCCTTCCCTTATATCTTACTTCACGTGCGTCTACTCTAAAATTTGCATAAATTTCTGACCATTCCTTCTTCGTGTTGCATTTTCAATGTCGAGCAGTGTATTTACGTTATTAAAGAAAGTAAGAAAGCAAAATGTCTTAAATTAGAAGCTAATATATGCCAAGTAGCAAAACTTCTGATGATCGGATGATGTCATAACACACAGAGAGTTAAGCAGTTTGTTCTAAAATAGAACAATCCACAATGGCTAAATGTCTAAGTTTTATCTCAATCTGGCCAAAAAAACAGTGGAAATAGAAAAGTGTTTGTTAGTAAAAGTCATCATTCTTTATGCAATCAAGCTATAAAAACATCTTAATGAAAAAGACCTTTTTTATTAACAGGATAGCTGCCCAGTAAATCATTAGAATACTTAGCTAATGTTATTCTGATCTTGAAAGCCAAATTCAAAGAGAATAGAGAAATTAAATTACATATTTACATTAAATCATTTGTGCACATCATCCACTAGTTACCTCCTTTGCAGGTTTGGGTAAAAAATTTCATGTCACTTAAAAACAAGCAATTTAAAAGTTCAAGTAAATGCGAGCTTTAATTAAGGAATGTGAAATTACTAAATTGGGAATTTTATATTCTAGGAGGATGAGAATAAAGTTTTGTATTTCTTCTTGAAGAAAGTCAGTGTTATTGCAAATTCCTTTTATTCTAAGTATTTGAGTATTAATTGTGTTTATAATAACTCTTTTTGAAATGTCAGAAGTGTTAAGAGTGTGACACTTAAATTCTCTTCGCTTCTTAAATTTTTAGTCCGTGAGGGACTACTGTTTTTGTTTTGCAATTTTGCGTCGAATCACTCCGAGCATCCGTTTCACTTTTCAAATTGCTGCCACCAAATATTATTGCTCTATATTATATTTGAAGAAATTAAATAATGAAGAACCTGCATAAATATATGTACGTTTCTTGAATTGTGATAAAACAACAGTACCTAGATCCATCAAATTTTGAATGACGTAATCCTACTGCGAATATGGACATCTGGAAACCCAAATTTGAAATTTGTTTTATTATCGATTTCATATTTTGTAAAACTTTAACAAATTTTTGATTAACAAAATCAAGGATTTCAAAGCGAACAATGGCAATGTTGTACAGAAAAAAACATTTTTATCTCCAGCGCATGAGACTCTGTATCGGAAAATCCAAAGATACGCACAATTAAAAATTATTTTGCGATATTGCTCTTGAACTGAATTTTATGGTTTAAGTGAAGAACATATTTAACAAATAAAGGTAACACACAAAATGTTAAAAAAACGCCCCTTTGGATGTAATTTAAAATCTGAAACTTTTCAGATTTTGTTTTTTAAATTTTCATAATTTAGTATATAAAGATCAAGTTAGAAGATGTCTTTTTGCTGAGGGCTAGTATTGTTAAGGCAAGAAGGATAAATATTTGCATGCTCAATTTGTTTAAAGTTATTTATAGCAATAATGTCATCACTATCAATTATCATTGGATTTAGAACAGCTTAAATATTTTAAACATCTTGTAAACATGTTTAAAATATTTAAGCTGTTCTAAATCCAATGATAATTGAAATTTATATTGTGTGAAAAGGAATAAATTACAGACCGCTGAGGAAATAGTCACACCCATAGGTATACCTCGTACTTGATTAAAAAAATTTATTATTAAATTGGAGATAATTGTTATATTATAATCTGTTATAAATATTAAATTACTTCACATATATACTATATTATTAAAAAAAAGTATTTATATGCTATCTCTAAGGAACATAAAATCAATTAAAGCCATGAATTTAAATAGTAAAAATTTTTTAGTCAGTATTCTAATTAGTATTTTAAATTAGTATAATTTAGTCCTCTATTGCAGTAAAAAACATTTAAAATGCGTAAAGTTAAGTTCTTAATTGCAGCAATACCAAATTGAAAAGTAGTTAATGCCATTGATCACAAATTAATTGACTTGCCAAGGGAAACAAACCAATCTAATATCAATTAACAATAACATAATTAAATGAAAGTGTTTTGTCCTTTTTCCAAGGACAAAATCATATATATATATATATATGAAGTAATCTGCCCAATATAAATTACTATGGAAAGAGCATATAAATTTTAAAATCTTATGAAATGTTTATATGCTTAAAGTATTAGAATATTAGAGAAAAAGTATGCATTTGCAAAATATTTGACTGCGTAAATAAATTTATATTTATAAATTCAGTTTTACCAATTAATTGTATCTTTAATTCACAATATTACATATAAACTTGAATACTTCTAATTCAACTTAAAGTATAATTTAAATGGAAGTTCCATTGCAATTTAAACTCTTTTTAACTACAGCCCTTTTTTAGTTTTCTTGACTACTTAAAAAAATAAAATATATGGAACTAGAAGATTACAAATGAAACATACAACATTTAAATCTTCAAAAACATATATTTTAATAAAATTTGTACAATAAAGAGAAAATATAAATGTTTTCAGATAATAAAATATTTCAAAATGTTTTAGAACATTATATATGCACATGAATTTTACATTTTCCAAAAAAGTATTTCTCATTCACAGACGACCACAATTCTGCCTACTTAATATGTAGGTCACGTGCCAAGTCAATTGTCTAAAAAACAATAAAATAACATTTACAATTATATTAAAAATGAAGTTATATAGCAAAAATTGTTTAACATCAAATTATCCACATTAAACGACATTCTTTTACGGATTTTTATGATATACAAGATTTAAGATTTTTATCATACACAAATTTAAACTGAACCAAGCAAAGAGAATATGGCACGCTAAACAAAATCAATAGAATCTAAGAAATAAAACAACTATAACTTGTGCCAAGAATGAACAGAACAAGGATACTTTCAAATTCAGCATTTCAATATCTGGATTTCTAGAACATGACATTTTACTGATTAATAAACAGTTACTTTCCTTTGGCCTAGATAATGGCTGCCACACATAAAGACATGGATTCGACAAAGTTCAGAGTGTTCAAAGATATGGCCTGTTAAACATCTAAAATTTCAAAGTTCAAACTAGAATAAATACAACAATGTTCAGCAATTAATGGGGTAGAAATAATAATTTTAAAAAGACTAGTCCTGAAATCTAACGAAACATACACATGCAACTATTTTCCATTGTGCATATTTTACATATTGGGGGAGAGGACTTACACTCCTGATAATGCAATTATTCCTCCAAAATTTGTCTACATAATATATATATATACAGTCTACCTGAAAATTCTTGTCCGTTTTTGGAATAAAACACAATACAAATTTTTCTTATCGTCAATAAACTTTATTAAAATAATATAATTGCCATTATTACTGATGACTGCTTGCCAATGTGAGGGCAATTTGTATATCCCATTTTTGAAAAATGATGTAACTTTTGATGCAAAAAAATTGAGCTGGTGCTTATTTGATATCTACTTTATTTTTGAATTTTTTACCCTTCAAAAAACTTTGTAAGGACAAAAACAAGTGATAGTCAGAGGGTGCTAAGTCCGGAGAATATGGTGTATGTGACACAATTTCCCAGCTTATTTCTGCAATTTTTTGACGAGTTCCCAAAACAGCAAGTGACCTGACATGATGCAGTATGATGTCCTTCCTGTTGAAAATCGCCAGCCTCTTTTCTTGGACTGTTGTCTTTTAATTGTCTAATTGCTGACAGTACTTCTCCGAATTGAGCTTTTTGTTCAGTTTTAAAAGCTCATAATGTACTGGTTTTCGAATGCCCCACCATATACACAACATTCTCCTTAGTCAAGGTGAAATTTGGTTTAGAGGTGGAAGGCTGGGTTTTCTGGGTCCACAATATGCCCTTTCTCTTACAATGTTTCCATGGGGAATCCACTTTTCAATCCCAGTTATCATTTTGTTCGGAGCAAGCAGAAATGTGCATATGACGACTCAATCATTCAAATTCTGACTTAACTGACGTGGATATTTCCACACCAATCCTATCTTCCGAATATGGTTTGAAATGGTTTGCTGAGCTGAATTAAGCCTTTCTGAGATCTCCAATGTTGTCACAAAAAGATCTTGTTCCAACATAGTCGTACAACAACATCGTCGCCGATCACAGATGATCGCCCAGAACGTGGCTTATCAGGAAGTTCGAAATCACCTGTTTCAAATTTTCAGAACCATCTTCTGCATGCCTTATCAGAAACTGTACCTTCACCATACACTTTCAATAAATTTCTACATGCTTCTGTAGCATTTTTTCCTTGTCGAAATTCATATAAAATATCGTATGAACTTTATGGGTACATTATCGCTTCACACTTAAGACTTAACATGAATCAACTTTGTTTTAGTTAACTTGCTACTTCAGTATGTATACATTAAGCGATAAAAATAGAGAGCCGAACATACAGCAAATAAACACGTGCTCATGTGTCGAAAATTGTTGTCATAAAACGGACATAACTTTCGGGTAGACCGAATATATATAAACACATGTCTGATTAATGATTGTGTAAAAATTATAAGTCATAACACATTGCCTGCCAACAGGAAGTAAAGAGTTAATATGTAATGGATACTTTCTGAGAATTTGTTATTAGATGCAACCTATGAAAAGAAATTTTGAATTGACATCAAGCTTATAGCAACAACTGTGACGCTGTGATTTCAGACAAGAATATATTGCATTAGAAATAAAAGTGAAAAATCAGTGAAATATCTCAAAATAATTTTTGAATCATATATGTGTGCATGCATATAATAAATCAAATACTCAAAAATCGGAATGAAAAAGAAAATGTCATATTAAATATTTTCAGGTTAATCCTATTTTTTCCGTGTTACAAAATAAACTGGTAAAATGCAAATTAAAGAAAACTGCAAAATGGTAATAAAAAATTTTTACTTCAAAGAGGAAAAAGTATAAAAAATGGGAAATGTGTACATATTAAATCCAAAACAATAAACAATTAAAAAAATTACTCTCCTTAGTTTAGTGCTTCAAACAGAACTTGTCAAGGGAAAAGTGCTTTGAAGGCCTATACCAAGTTGATTAATGAGTGACGAAAAACATGTTTTGTTCCACTAAATTCTCTGAGGCCTTAAACTGCTTTAAATTAATCCAACTTTCTTTTTAAGCCAAATGTATCTTAAAAGTCTCATAAAATTTAGTTCTTTTCCCTACATACCTTCGCACTCATAAAGTGCAAACAATTATATAGAATTGGAAAAAATTATCAAAAAAGCATAAAAAGGCTAATGATAAACCAAATACTATACAAAAATAAAAATAAATTCTGTTTACCGAATTTAAGAATCAATTTAATTTCAAAATTGAAAATTAAATTGTACAGTCATAGTATAAAAATACATACATACAAATTATATTAAAAATATTTTATTACTGATATTTAAACTTTTCTAAGTGATATTTAAAATTTAAATAAATTTAATACATATAACACCTTTTGCTTTCTACAAAATTTGTACAACCTTTACTAAACTAACTTAAAAATTAAAAAAAATTGCCATTTGATTAATATTTCACTTTAAAAATATCACATTACATTAGTATTTTCTTATTTCTTAAAAGGTAATCAAATTGAAATTAAGTATTAATTTATACAGTCAAAAGTCTTTAATCCGGACTTCTTGGGACTTCAGCGATTCCAGATTAACGGTTTTTCCGGACTATAGATCATCAGTTTAAATCTGGTAAGATGGCATGCAGAAATTATAAAATTTAGAATATGAAACCATAATTTATGAAATAAAGAACAATTATGATCTAAAGGGTATCAAAATTTACAAAAAAAAAAAAAAAAAAAAAAGGTTAATATTTATTTGTTTACTTTATTAAACATTTCTTTCAACGTGGGCATGCCTAAAGCATACATTATGCATAGCCAAATTTAGAAAATTGCAACCAGAAAACTATTTGATGTGTATGCGTGAAATTTATAATGACGAGGAATTTGATTTAAATCATATCAAAGACGAAGTACATCGAGATGAAATTCTATATTTAGTAAGGAATTATAAGCCGAATAAAATAAAAACATCTGCCCTGAAGATGAGGATAGTGCTGACAGATCAACTTCCAGTTCATTGTGCGCTGCGACGTTCCCCCCTTCCCCCGCCGCAGTGCAGCGTAAATTGATAAACAGAGTTCGGAATGGTTAGAGAAAGAATGGATATGCCTTTATCCATTTTTTGCAGCAATTCCACTTTTTGTTTGATGGACATCGAAACATGCTTTCGCTTTGTAGACCCTTTGGCAGCTCCAGAATCGGAAATTCTTTTTGACATAATCGAAAGTTCAAGCTTATATTTATAAAATTGCTCTAACAGCCTGCAAAAAATAATAAGCTGGATCCAATTAGAAGATTAAGGAACAATGAAATCTGCAACATTAACTGAAATAGATAATTAGATAATTTTAGCTTAGCTTATACTGTCCGTTATACATTAAACATGTATGCGTAAACGTATTATGCGCATAGTTAAACACATATGCGATTGCGTAAGTGCGCATAGTTAAACACATATGCGATTGCGTAGGTTACAAAGTATGCACATGCATCAGCGCATTATGCGTTGACACATGCGCAGAAAGTTTGTAGCTTTGAGGTCCGGATTATAGATCATTCCGGATTATGAACATCCGGATTAAAGACTTTTGACTGTATATGTATGTGTGTGTAATAAGAACAGATAAATATTGTTATGACTTGGAGAAAGTTGTAATGGACTGATGATGGTTCTCTGCTTTATGCTTGGAGAGACTTATGGTTTTGCATAGTTAGAAAGATGACACTCGAAGGAGACATTTGCAGACAGACGTGGCTGAATTAAACATAATTTTTATTGCTGGACATGAAATAATTATGGAAACATATTCATCATCACACATGATCATGGGTGCAATACACACCCTACAGTCTTATATCACATTTTAGATAACGGCATAGTTAGCAGCACGACAAAGCAAAAGGAGCAAAGTAGCATCTTGAATGCAGGAGACCTGGAGTTAAAAGTGCACAATTATCCAATATGGAGGCTCACCACGAGAATGTTTTGGTTTAGGTTACAAAGGTTTCAGTTCTTAAAATTGTGAGCTTAGATTCAGAATTAATTACGTCATCAGTGTTACACAAGGCATGCAAAATTGGTTGATCTAGAAATGACGAAGTCCAGAAAAATTATGATTTTTAAATTAGCAATAGGGATTCCTGATTAGAATGAACTGCTCTCCTTTGGTCTAGATAACAGCTGCCACATGAAGAGGTGTGGATTCAACAGTGTTCCAGAGATGTGGACTATTAAACATCTTCTAGAATTTCCTCCTAAATTAGTTAAGGATGCTGGTGGTGAATGATATACTTGCACACCTTTTTTATAGAGTATCCCAAAAGTATTCATGAGATTGAAATTCAGTCTTCTTAGTGGCTCTTTCAGCTGGAAAAATTCAGTTAAAAATCCTCGAATCAAGTGACAGCCAACTAGGGTCTGTGACAACAGTCTCACTCATCCCTCCATGCTACTTGCCTACATATGATACAGCTGAGTCTTCAAGAATAATGATTACTAAAGGCTGCCTATTCCTTGCAGTTTGCTCAATTATTCTTTTATTTTTCTGCTATCCATGTACTTTTGACATACTCTTGATACCATGGCATGAGAAAATACCAATATATATATGTACTACAGAAGAATTCTCCCTTCCTCAAAAATTCGTATAGGAAAACAGTATATGAAATTTCATGTTTACTGACAACCCTTATTAGAACATTCTCAAGAAAAAATAACTTACTTTCCCACATAAATTAAACTATATGATAATTCACTTTTTTGCTATATCACATGTATGCTGTAAGTTTAGCTTGTAAACAAATTTATGCAAAAAGCAGTCTAAATCAAAATACTATTGGGGACAAGTATTATAAGAGCACTTGGTAGTCATCATATTATTGAGGAATGTGCTTTATGAAGGTTTTCTATGAACTTGTGAATCCATACACATATTAAAAAAAAAAAAAAAAAAAAAAAATCAAACCTACACAGAAAGCCAATTGCACTGGAAATTTAACTTAAAATGACATTAGCATTCTATTATTTTATTACAGAACATTATTTTACTTTATTATAGCAATACTGGCCTGCTCATACATATAGAAATTTCTTTTGAAAAATAACAATCTTTTTAGTTAATGTCATTTAGATTTCATCTTTATATGGGGAGATCATAAAAGTAGGCATCATCTGTGCTATTTCAAGCAACATTAGCAAATAATGAATATACATCAAATTTACCTTCAAAATAATAAGCGGTATTCAGGTCTGTTTTATGATGTATACGTATCCTCAATACAATTACAATACAAAATAATTTATAACATATTAATTAAATACAATTTAACTTTACCAAATAAATATGGAAAAATGCCTTTTTGATTATAAAAAGTCAATTTTGATTTTTTTATATTGTTAATTCATGATTTTGTAGGATGTTTAATTAGTTTTGAGCCAAACAACGATACAATACTTATGGAATGATAAAATGCAGTACAGTAATTATGTCATCTTCTGGAGGGAAAAAAATGAGTACCATGTCCACTAGTCATAATATCACATAATTTTAAAAAGTAGTAAAAGGTTATTAATCAATAATATCTGAAAAAAAAAATATTTGCTATCCTAACAGGTTTTTATTAAATCCACTTACTGACTAAACAGAAAAAAGGAAAATTATTCTGACAAACTGACAGAAAAGTTTTAACAGTGTGTATAAATTGTACTAGCATACAAGGCTCAGTTTTTTAGACAGCTTTCTCTGGTATCCAATGTATTCATCAGACTTAGTTGTTAGTCATTTTTCTTTTAAAGAAGTGAAACACTACTTGCATGATTCACATTACAGTGAAGATGATGTGAACGACACCCTTCACAATAGCTCAGGGACTGAAATAATACATTTTTTCTGCTGGATTTCAATACATAACTGACTGAAATGTTACATACAATGAAATCAAGGAAGCTATATAAAAAACTGAGTAAACTATTTTGGATACTTGTTTTGTATAAAAGTGTTAGGCTTAAAACTTATTGAATAGTCTTATCTCAGTTTGCTTATCCAAAGAAAGCAAAAAATACTTACATCTTCAGGTACTAACCAAGAGAAAAAGACATATAATAAATGTTCTATAGCCTGAAGAAGCATGAAAAATGCACCAGCAATGTAACCTTGCTCCCAAAACCTAAATACAAAGAATACCATTTTGTGAATAAATGTAGCCATTAGCCATTTTCAGTATATATGTAGCGTATTCGGAAACTAAGTACCGTTTCATTCTAGCGCCGTCGCAGCGCTGTGGTAGGCGTCCCGCGCATGCGCACTAGTCTTTCTTGTTCACTGACTTTCAATTGTCGCCATTTTGGTTGCTTTATGTTGTGTTTTCAGTTTGCTGTGCAGATTCAAAATGTTTAAGATAATTAGTTCTCCCACTGACTGTGAGATTCGTGCCATGATTAAATTTTTGAACGCGAGGAATGTTAAACCGGCCGAAATTTATCGTCAAGTGACAGAAGTTTACGGTGAATACGCGATAAGTGATGGAATGGTGAAAAAGTGGGTAAGAATGTTTAATGCAGGTCGAACAAATGTCCCCGCCGAGGCTCAGGGTGGTCGGCCTTCTGTTGTCACCGATGATTTGGTAAGGAAAGTTGATGAAGCAATTCATGAGAACAGACGCTTCACAATGACAACTCTTTCAGAGGCATTTCCACAAATTTCCGTACTGTTTTGTTCGAAATTGTGTCTGACCGCTTGAATTATCGCAAACTGTGTTCCCGATGGGTTCCAAAAATGCTCACTGATGTTCACAAAACAAAGCGACTTGGTAGTGCCCTGACATTTCTCACGCGGTACAGTGATGAGGGAGAAAACTTTTTAAACCAAATTGTGACAGGTGATGAAACTTGGTGTGTCATTTCACACCAGAATCGAAACAACAATCGATGGAGTGGAGACACACTCATTCTCCGAAAAAACAAAAGTTCAAAGTGACAATGTCATCACAAAAAATCATGTGCACTGTCTTCTGGGATAGGAAAGGCGTTTTGCTTACTGAATGTCTTCCCAGAGGTGAAACCATTAATGCGGCACGATATTTGAGACTTTAACAAAACTAAGGCGTGCCATTCAAAACAACGAAGAGAATGCTCAGTAAAGGAATTGTGTTGCTCCATGACAATGCTCGGCCCCATACTGCTGGCGTCACTCAATCGTTAATTCGACAGTTTCATTGGGAGCAGTTCGATCACCCGCCGTACAGCCCGGACTTGGCGCCGTCCAACTATCACTTGTTCTTGCACATGAAGCGCGGGCTTGGTGGCAAACGCTTTGGATCTGACGATGACACGAAAAATGCTGTGTAGTTGTGGTTATCGAAACTGGCAGGAAGTTTCTTTGATGATAGTATACAAAAACTGGTCACCCGCTATGACAAGTGATCAGTTTGATCATTGATTGGCAGAAACCATGTTGAAAAATAGTTTAAGGCATGTATTTTCATGTAAAAATAAAATTGGATTAAAAAAAATTTTTTTTCTATTTTTTTTTTTCAAAACGGTACTTAGTTTCCGAATACACCTCGTAAGTATATAAAAAAGACGCTCACATATGCAAATATAAGTATACCTGAGCATATGTAATTTTAAATCAATATATATACAGTACAAAGTCTTTAATATGGACCTCAAAGCTACAAACTTTTTGCGCATGCATAGCATTTACGCATGCGCATAATATGTTTACCCATGCGCGTTTAATGTACAACGAACGGATAAGCTTAGCTAAAATTATCTAATTATCTATTTCAGTTAATGTTGCAGATTGCATTGTTCCTTAATCTTCTAATTGGATCCGGCTAATTATTTTTTGCAGACTGTTAGAGCAATTTTATAAAAAGTAAGCTTGAACTTTCAATAATGTCAAAAAAGAATTTTCGATTCTTGAGCTGCTAAAGCATCTACAAAGCGAAAGCATGTTTCGATGTCCATCAAACAAAAAGTGGAATTGCTGCAAAAAATGGATAAAGGCATGAAGAAAGTGACAGAGAGGTTAGTGAAAATGAAAAAATTTCAATTAACATGTTAGTCAGTATTCTTGGCACAGCAATTACTAGATTTGAACAGCGGAACTTTGTAACTGAACAAGAAATTATGTCTCTTCATAGAATTAAAGAGAAAGTATTAGCACATAAAACAAAGCAAGTTAAACAACTTACATTCAAAGAAATGTTTAATAAAGTAAACAAATAAATATTAAGCTTTTTTTTTTTTTTTGTAAATTCTGATACCCTTTAGATCATAATTGCTCTTTATTTCATAAATTACGGTTTCATATTTTTGATTTTATAATTTCTGCATGCCATCTTACCAGATTTAAATTGATGATCTATAATCCGGAAAAAAACCCTAATCCGGAACTGCTGAAGTCCCGACGAGTCCCAGTTAAAGACTTTGTACTGTATATATAAGTATGTGTGAGTGTAAGTAATTTTAAATATAATTTCAAAATAAATCAATAAAATTAATTAGCCTATAACTTGCACTAAAGCTGCAAAGTAACAAACTAACAATTCATAATAATTTATAATAAGAAAACTTTCCATATACCATCTCCAAGGAACACAAATTCAATTAAAAACCATGAAATAATATATATATATTTAAATATGAGGTGTGTGGACAAAAAAAAAAAAAAAAAAAAAAAAAAAAAAAAAAAAAAAAAGACTAAGTGTATAGCTTGAAAACAGAATGGAATTGGCAACAACTGTTTTGGTGACGTCATGCCACACACCTCCTCTATTCATGCAGCCAGTTCTGACTCAACCGACCATGCCAGTGTGGAGTACTGCGTCATTGAGTGAACACGTGCAACTGCATTCTACCGGAAAAATGTCTAATGTAAAAACCAAACAGCAAATCAACATCAAGTTTCTTGTGAAACTTAAGAAATCAGCCATGGAGGAAACATTTCAAATGTTAACCGAGGCTTATGGAGATCAAACTTTGTCTCATGCATGTGTGTTTGAATGGCATAAGTGGTTTTCAGGGGGAAGGGACAATGTGGAAGATGATAAACATGCTGGGCACCCTCTTGGGCACTCACCATGATTGAATAGGTTCCCAGTGGTCAGACTGTTAATCAATACTACTACTTTGGAGTACTAAAAAGATTTTGTGAAAAAATAGGAAACAAAAGTCAACAGTTTTGGAGTGATGGATAGCTGTTGCACTAGCATAACGGACCTGCTCACACAGCCCTAGTATATCAAGCAGTTTCTGACCAGCAAAGACATTACTGTGATGGGGCATCTTCCTTATTCACCTGATTTGGCTCCATGTAACCCTTTTTTTTCATTTCTTTAAGTTAAATCTTACTTAAAGAGAACTAATTCTACTTCAACTGAAAAGGTTCAGGCAAAAACGAAGAATCTTCTGAAGGGCCTACCAAAAACCTCGTTCCAGAACTGTTACCAGCAATGGCAGCACCGAATGCAGAAAGGCGTAAATGCTGAAGGGAACTACTTTGAAGGTGATAATGTGACGGAGAACTGATTCTGTAAGTACAATGATTTATTGGACCAGTCTCGTTTTTTTCTTTTTTTTTGTCACACCTTGTATGTATATATATTGTAAAATAAAATAATATGTTTAAAATCCATCCATCCATCCCATATTTACTTCAGAACAAATCACAAATCAGTCAAAAACTAAAAAAACAGATGTGCAATGGCAAACTGCATGATAGGTTCAAAAAATGCAAAATCAGAAATGAAAAAGAAAAAAGAAATTAACATCTTTCTCTGCATCATCATCATAGAGTTGGTAGAGCGAAATAAATCAATACATTAGCCTGTTTCAGCCAGATTTGGCATGAAATTGCCCATTTGGCGACCATAGCTGGTAATTTCGTGACATATGCCTTAGACGGAGTGAGAACACTCCAGAACGAATACTGGTTTGCCCCACAGAATGTTCTCGAAGGCAGGTCAAAAGCTACGTAAACACAGCCTGTCACAGTAGCAGTTTTATTGTGAAGAGCATCTTCAGTCTGTTGAGTTCAGTAGCAGTGCTTTGATATTAGCTTCAGAGTGACCGAACCCAGAGAGGTACTGTACTTTAGTGCTTTGCCGTGAAGCTGTCTTCACCATTATAACCTAAAGGCTGTATTACTGATTGTTTCAGTGTGTTTATCGTAGTTTTTCGATGACTGTAATGTGTCTTTGGAACTGTCCTGTGAAATACTGATAAATAAATTGTGTTTTGATTCTTCGTCAAGAATTGCCACATATCATTCCAAATACACGAACCTGTAGAACACAACAATATATAACAAATAGATAAATGGGCACAATCAGCATGTTTGTTCTTGATCCTAATGTGCCCTTTTACATCTTCATAACAATGATTCTGAAGCAGTAAAATAAGTGTAGCAGCAGAGAGGAAGCAAGTTGACAGGGCGAAAACAGGAGAGATAATGCAATATATTCAAAATGAAAACTTAGTTCGGAAAGAATTAATTTCACTTCAGTTTTGTCCTTATTGGTTAATTTTAAATTTTGATTGACAAATTTAAAATTATTATTGGTTGAAGCATTATATAAACATCTGCATAACGAGCAGTATGTAGCAATCATGAGAACATCAATTTTGAAATGATGTAATTAAAAGCGATTTATTATAAGCAACTCCAAGATAAAATTTCTGTTAGTTACACAACAAAATTGATAAGAATTATTCCACAATTATATATGAGTATCATTATATCAATCTCAAATTAGACTTTTTTTATTTTTCCATAAATCAGCACATTAAAATAAATCTAACAAGTTCTCATACACAAAATACATCAATGAAATAATAAATTAAGAAAACCATACTAAGGAACTAAGGAATTGGATGTCTTGGTTGCATGTTTTCAGTTTATAGGTAGTTTTGTGATAATTTACTTTCTATACGATTTGCAAACGAAATGCATAACACATACCACAGTATTAAATATTTGCCGTGAATAAGACACTCTATGAAAGCAGAAGAGAAACATGGACATAAAATAAAATTAGTAACACAGAGGAAACATAAAATTAGTAACACAGAGGTATTGAGATTTAAGTCAAGATCTCTATCAATTTCCAGTGCAAACAGGTAGAGATTACTCTTCATCAGGAGCAAAGAAATCTGCAAGACTAAAAGAAGTGTTACTAATTTTATAAGCCACTCTATATTAACCAAACAAACTAATCTTAAAACTGGAAAGCAGTACTATTACAAAAGCACATATAATCTCAAACCATAATAACTATTTCAAACATTAGTGATATATTAGGTTGTTCGTCAAGTTTGTGCATTAACTATTTTACAATCTACCTAAATATATTATATAATTTATAGAATTTGTGTTCAGAATCTACTTGTTTGAAACACAAAAACATAAGCATGTATGAGTTTTGCATTCTCTCATCTTTTGAACTTTCTATATATTTCAGCAGGAAAGTAGAATGTGTATAATTTTAGTAAAAAAAAAAAAAAAAAAAAAAAAAAAAAAAAAAAAAAAAAAAATCTTTATAGAAGATACCACTGCTTTAAAATATCATCACATGCACCATATATGCTAATAATTAATTTAGAATATGCTACTTATTGTACCTGACTTTCAATAGATGCTTCAGATTAAATTAAATGAAGTCATTTTTCTTCTACATAAAACAGTAAAGAAAATATGGTTTAATAAAATAATTTAGAGGAATAAAAGAAGAAAAAAGTCGAATGCTGAAAAAGAGTAATGTCTAAAAGAATTAATTCACACTATTGATAGAATATTAAACCAGAATTTCAAAGAAGAAAGCAAAGAAACAATTTTGCACTATAGAAAAATCTGTACTATGCCAAAATACTCAATAACATAACAGATTTTCAGAAAAAATTCGATAAATGCAAACAAAAATGATATAGCATATCTATTTGATTGTTTTTGCACAGATTGAGACAACCCAAACTAAAAAAATTATAGGTACTTCAAAATTTAACAAGAAATTTTGAAGTACCTTATAAATCACAAAAATTCATTTTTTAATTCAATTTTATACAATTTTTACAAACTTTCTTAATCTGCACTGTAAATCATCCACTGGTCTACTGATGACTGAATCGTAAACTTTTTCAACTCTTGATGCAACATCATTCCACTGATACATTTTAGAAAGCCTTTGATGAGCGATATATGGAGGTGCAATTTTTTTATTTGCCCGATCTAGCACTGCTTCCTCAAGGCCATCTACTAAACCTAAAATGAAAAGTTAAAATTATTCTTTAGCATGAAAGTTAAAATTACTTTTTAATATGAGGAATGCCTAAGTTAATCATTTGCGGTACGACTAAACTTCACAGTTGCGGTGCCATGTGCTACAATATAACAAGCAATAAAGTGTCTCATATACGTTGCTCCGCATTTGCGAGTGCATGTGTGTGATTATGGCAAAGCCTCGAGAGCTTAAGGGGTGGGATGCCTTCGTGGAAGACTTTCTAAGGGAAACTGGCTTGTATACATGTTACACATGGGGTAAACCATGAAAACGCCTATGCAGCCAGCCCGTTCGCAGGATTCGAGCCTCTGATCGAACTATTAGTATTCAGCAACTTTACCGCTCGTGGGCCCGCTCTGCGAGTGCAATTCAGAGCTGTAACTTGAGAAATAAACAATCTCGTTGTTAGGCGACGTGTGCAACACGTTATTTTCATTTTTTCGTGCGGTTTTAGACAACAGCATTTCGACGTGCATGGCTCGTCTTTTTAGAGAAAGTGGTTAATGCTTTGTTTGAAATTTATGTAAAATATCATAATTTTACACATTTTAATATTGCAAGAACTGGATTTTGATATTTTGATGTAATCTGAACTAAGCTTTATTGTTCTTATATAACTTATGTTGCCCAAGAAAAAGCTACATAATATAAACACATGCATACTTAACTTTTATAATATTCTACATTTTTAAAATGTATGAAATACATTTTCAAATATAGGATAGCATGGATAAATATGACTTTTCACTTCATAAAAAAAGGTTTCACACAAAATATTTCTTGTCATATAAAAACAGCCCACCCATACTTTTGAAGAAGTTAAATTTACCATTTACAGATGGTTCAGTTAGCCAGACAAGATTTGGTGGCAACACTTCTGGTACACCTCCAACACTTGTACTTACAACTTGCAGCCTAAATCGAAAAGCATTTTCTTAAAAATGACATATTAAATTATTATGCATTACCATAGAAACATGAAACATGAAATAGACTGCTTTACAATTTTTTCTAGTTTTCTTTGTTTCAAGATAAATTAAAAAATTTAGCAACAACAACACCCCCTTTGGCTGTTCAAAAATTATTTTTGCAATTATTTATTTATATATATTTTAAATAATTAATTTTTTTGTTTGTTTTTTGGCTGTTCAAAAATTGTTTTTGCAAATTTAATTAATTTTCCTTTATTTCTTGTTCTACATAGGCTTTTCCTTACAGCTTCCTTACCTTAGATCTATCCATATCAATCTTCCTTTGTTGTTTTCATTTTCTTCAGTATATATCATAGCTTTACAGAACAGAAGAAAAAGTAATATCTTGAATGTTTGAATTTTCTTAGCAAACTTATATTTTTATTACTAGCTTTTTAAAAATTTGTGTGTGTGTGTGGGGGGGGGAAGTTATACAGATACAGACATTTAACTTTCTAAACATGAGTTTAGCCCTGAAATTTTCCTAAAAATATTATGAATAAATGGTATTTTCTTGATTATAATTAAAAAATGACTCTTTTTCTTCATAATTTGATTCCTTTTCTTTCAATACACAACCAACCCAAAATCAGATACATTAAGAGCTCGCAGAAATTTTCAGTTGTAATGAATAAGAAAGCCACCCTTCTACACGGAATTTTACGCCCATAATGCTGAGAGTGTTAAATAAATGCCTTTTCTCATAATAATAATGTAAAATGACAATTAAGGCAAGATCGTCTATTAATATTTTTCTGTAAAAATGCAAATACATTAAGAAGCAAATTACTAGAAATACAAATTATAAAGTATGGATCTGCCATTACTAAAAGTCAACTAAGTTACAGACAGACACAAATACTACACAATCAAGATACAAACTTGATTTTTCATTACTCAGTTTAAAGAATATAATTTGAATTTTGTTATTTAGAACAACATTAACATATAAATGCTATGCACACCAGTGTACACATTAAAAAAAGAAGATTAAATTTATTTCAAGAATGAAACAATTATTAAAAATATTCTGAACCAATTTTTAACACAGTTTTAGAAATAAATAAATATATAGTAAACAGAAACATAAATTTAAACTTTCAAAAAAGTTGAAAATAAGTTTCATTAAAGGTAATATAGATTATCAATTGAGTTTCATCCATTAAATTTTACATTTGGTGAATATAAGTACATTTAATTAATATTGCAACAATTATAATTTTAATAAATACATAGTGAAAACACAAAATAACAGTCTTGATATTTAGAAGGGTTCAAAATTAAATAAAGCATGAGAGCATAAAGTATACAGTACCCACAACATGCTGCTTCTAAAATGGCCATACAAAAAGCTTCTGTTAAGGAAGCATTCAGAAAGATGTCACCTTTGACTAAAACCTAAAATAATACAAGTTTCATTCATCATTGTAATACAACTTGCACTTTGAACATCAATATTTTAGTTATTACAAATATAGTATTATATTAAAAACAGAAAAGAATTCATGTTAATAATTCATGTTTTATTTCCTACTTAAAGAAAGCTTTCAGTTTAAATTGTTTATTATTTTTACATTACCTTTTTAAGTATTCAAAGCAAATACTCAGAGACAGGAAAATAAATTTAAATCCAGTCCATTGGATTTAGATTTGACGAGATCCTAAACTATTTGAGATACAGGGCCCTTTATGAGGGACATAAGTCAATTTTTTTATATGGGGTATGGTATAATTTTTGGAAAGAAGAAAGTGGGGGCCCTAAGCTATAGCTTGTGCAGCTTGTACGTAAATGGCACTACTGCCCATACATAATACATATTTACTATAGAAATCTTCATTTCTTTATGAAAGTAGTGTTTTATATAACATTTTTTATAAGGCTAACAATATTTGCAAATCTACTATAAATTTTCACAGTTAAAAAAATTATAAAACATACTCTTCTGTTATTGAGACCGGATTCAGAAATGTGTATATGTATGCATGTGCGTATGTGCATATTACACATACATACCTACACACACATGCATACATGAACATATACATCCATCCATACATACATTTCTGAATTCGGTCCCAATAACAGAACAGTACCAAAGCAATATTTATTGATTTTTGTCAAATAATATATATACATTTAACTTTCAATTAAAAAAAAATGTTGTCAAATTTGGGTACTTAAGTATTAATGCAACCACCTTGGTGATGTTTTTCAGATTTATCAGACGCAAGCCCGTGGCGTTGCAAATTTTTTTAAAAACATTCCAAAGCTATCAATGTTTATCGTAAATCAGCAAATATTATCAACATATGAAAATAAAACAGACTTAAGCAAATTAAAATACAAATTTTAATTATTAAATTTAGTAATATTCTAACAAAAAAAATCTTGCATTCGTCTTCAAAGTTTTCTATAATTTTTTTACGTTATTCTTCTTTACAAGTGCAAAATGATCTGTTTTTGCTTAAAATAGCATCGCAGAATTGCAGAGACTTGGCATAATTTAAACTTTGGTAAATCAGATATTTACCAAATGAATATCCTCGCTGCTTCCTTTAGAACTTTTATGGCAAAATTCTGTATTACTCTAGAAATTTTACTACAGCATCTTCCATTGCTGGAAAATTCTACAAGTGCACATTTTAAAATAAAATTTATGACGAAAGGCAAAAAATATCATGATTTGTTTATAAAAACCCTTACAGCAGAGAATTTAAAAAAAAAAAAAAAAAAGAGAACACATACAAAAATGGTGACATTGCTTGATTGAAGGATTGATATGAGCATGGTTGCCTGAAGAATGGTTAAGTGCATGGTTGCCTTAGTTTGGCCAATTCTGAAAATTAGATGACTTCATCTAAGGTGATCGTGATAACACACAAGTACACAAATTAGTTATTTCATATTTAAAGATTTACAGCATTGTTTTCCATATATCTTTGGTTTACTACTCCCTTTTCAAGGTTTATTTTGCTCAACCCTCTCCTTGCAGTATATTCTCACAATAATAATATTTAAAAACTCATCACACAGTACATAACCAGAATGCTAAAAATTAAAGTCTTCTCAAAACACTTATACACCAGAAAAATTCATGCACATATTTCTCCTACGTTAACACAAGTAGTGGTGTACATTAAATGAACATGCTACCTGTGTGCACTGGATGTTATATTCATAGTCAGTTTTTTAGATTAGACTGTCAATTTACAGCTCCATTCCTTCTTGGGAAAAAATTAAACCATTTGCAATCTGGATCAAAATATGTGAAGCAATTGACTAATATGTTTTTGTGTGATTCTTGTTAAGATATGTGACTAACACTTGTGTATTCAAATGGATATTTAAACGCTTCCTTCAAAAGTATTCACAGAACCAGGTTTTTTTAATCATGTTCTTATTGCCTATTTGTTTGCCAATACTCTTTTATCACCTCTCAAATTAACATCCCTCCCTCCATAAATCTTCTCAACAGTGAATGATGAGTGAAAACACCCACAATGAGAAACTATGATTTAAGCACATAAATTTTTTAAAGCATGCATCCTCCAATAGTTTAAAATATATGTTTTATTCTAGGCTGTCAATGAAAGTATTAACTTAATTGTTATTTTTCATGTTGGGTAAACAAAATTAATAAAGTTTAATACACATTTAAAGTGAAAATACATACATAAATAAAATAAATAAATAAATAAATATTATTACGTCATGAACATTCTCATGTTTTACAGCTCCAAGAAGAGTAACTCTTTCTTGGAGTTGGTAACGTTCTCTGACTTCCTCTAATACAATTCTTTTAGGACCATCACCACCTAAATATAAACAAGAATAGGTCATGCATAATTTAGAAATTTAATAATCAACTGCATGAGATCAAAGCAATTTTTCTGGAAATTTTTATGTTATACACAGACTTAAAGACTTGTTGCCATAAAAGCAATTAAATTTATAAAATAAGAGTCCAAAGTTTTAATAGTTGTTATATTATGACTATTTTAGAACTTAAAATGTATAACTTTAATAGAAAATATGAATGTAGGAAAGAGTGCTATTATTTGTTAATGATTTAAATTTTTTGTAATTTAAAAAATTCCCAAATTCCTCCATTACTTTGCTACTCTTTTTAAGGATACTTCTTTTTATTTAATTTTGCACTGTAAAACCTAAAGAGTAAGTTTAAATAATATTCAAAAATTATTCTCAACATTAAGAATAATTATTCATATAAATTACAAATTATGTTTGGTAATATGAGTAACGTCATAGATCAGACATGGCCAATACATGATTTACAGCATACTTTTATTGATCCTAAAAATTAATTTTAATCTTGTGTATGTACTAAAAAAGGACTTATTATCATTTTTAGTACATTTAATATACAGTCAAAAGTCGTTAATTCGGACACCCATAATCCGGACCTCAAAGCTACAAACTTTCTGCACATGCGTAGCGTTGACGCATGCGCGAAAGACCTTTACGGCTGCGAATATGCGCATAATACGTTTACACATGCGCGTTTAATGTATAACGGACGGTATAAGCTAAGCTAAAATTATCTAATTCAGTTAATGTTGCAGATTGCATTGTTCCTTAATCTTTGAATTGGATCCGGCTTATTATTTTTTTGCAGACTGTTAGAGCAATTTTATAAAAGTAAGCTTGAAGTTTCGATTTATATTTACTAATATGTAAAGGATCTACAAAGCGAAAGTTTCGAAATCCATTAAACAGAAAGTGGAATTGCTGCAAAAAATGGAAAAAGGCATATCCTTCGTTTCTCTAATCATTCCGAAATCTGTTTATCAATTTCACGCTGCTCTGCGGCGCAAGGGGGGGGGGACGCCGCGGCGCACGATTAATTGAAAGTTGATCTGTCAGCACTATCCTTATCTTCAGGGCAGATGTTTTTATTTTATTTGGCTTATAATTCCTTACTAAATGTAGTATTTCATCTCGATGTACTCCGTCTTTGATATGATTTAAATAAATTCCTCATCATTATAATTCGCTTCGATAGTGAAGAAAGTGACAGAGGTTATTGAAAACGAAAAATTTCCATTGACAAATTAGTCGGTATTCTCTCGACGCAGCAATGATCGGATTTGAACAGCGGAGTTTGTAACTGAACAAGAAAATTCTGTTTTAGAATTAAGAGAAAGTATATCACATAAAATGAAGCACTTAAACAACTTACATTGAAAGAAATGTTTATAAAGTAAACAATAAATATTAAGCTTTTTTTTTTTTGTAAATTTTGCTACCCTTTAGATCATAATTGTTCTGTAGTTTATGAATTACAGTTTCATATTTTTAATTTTATAATTTCTGCATGCCATCTTACCAGATTTAAACTGATGATCTATAATCCGGAATCGCCGAAGTCCTGACGAGTTCGGATTAATGACTTTTGACTGTACTTGATACTGTTATTAGCTTATAATATGCATAAGGACCGGCACTCACCACTGGAAATAAAAGTGTTTTTTTGTTTCCGTAAAGTGTTGCCATTTCTCACTTTGAAATCACCGAGTTTGTTAATCAAAAATTCGTTAAAAATTAATTTTACAAAACTTGAAAAAGATAATAAAACAAATTCGAAATTCAGGCTTCCAAGTGGTTAATGTTTGGTTGGAGGACTACATTCCTGAAAATTTGATGGGTCTAGGAATCGTTGCTTTTTCACAATGCAAGAAACACTCTAAACTGTGAAATGATGCAAAGTGCCATTTTGAAACTAATAGCCCTTTGGGTCTTAATGCCCCTTTGGGCTAATAATATCACATGGCAAATTCTGAAGGGCAGCAAGCACCTGGTTACCAATAATTATACACATTAAATATTTTATTGGAATATTCTTGAGAAATGCAGAATGCATAATTTAGCTTATCTAACATTTGTTGAATGAATTATCCCAACAAAAATAACTGTACGTGAAAAAGAAATAAATCATACTCTAAAATTTTCTGTCAAAAACTATGAATGATATGGTGAATATTATAAACTGAATAAATTTAAAGATGCAAATACTGAGAGCAATTAAATCTCAATTAAAAAAAAAAGCTACTAAAAAGAGTAAAAAAGTTTCCTTAGATCATGTTCTATTTTATATATTTGATTATTGAAGGAATTAAAGCAATAAGAATTAGTGTAATGTTCATAAATTTACAGAACAAATTTTGAAGGTTTAAATATAGAACCTTCTTGCTGCAGAAGTGCAAAACAATATTTAAACCTATGAAAACAGTCCTGCAAATTTATGAATATTAGGCCGATTCTGTTGCTTTAAGTCCTCCAATAATCATTATTCAGTGTGCTATTTTAACTCAAATTTTACTTTACAATTTGCTACATAAATTAAATTATGTTTGGTTAAGTAATTAATGAAGTGTTCTAAAACTTACTGTAAAGGTCAATTAACCAGATACTATACAGATATCTGAAAGCATTAGTATGTCTTATCAAATGATACACTTGTATTTGGTAATTTTGCAAGATCAAGTTTAATGATTCAAAGCTGATACTTTAATTTTTGATAAAATATAGATATTTTAAAAATAATTACTAAACTGATAAATGTTTACTCATCAATGAGTATGATTTTTTAACCCGGGAGGACGCGCGTCGGGCCTCGCAGGCTCGGTCGTTACAAAAACATAACACACAAATTTCTCTCTTTTGTGAAATTTTTTGACGTTCTCAGTAGCTGCGTTCAAGGTCATGTATGTGTCATTCACAAGCATTTCCGGAATTTATCCCTCCCTCTTTTCTCAGAAACTGGGAAGCCAGGCTTCCCAAGCCTGAGGCATGCGCTCGCATTGTCATTTAAGTTGTGAAGGAATCAGGCAGTGCAAAATGTCTCGCTATTTGAGTTACGATGATGAAATGAAAAGATTACAGAAACTATTAGCTGAAGTTGCAACTGAACAGAAACCATTAGCTGAAGATTCAGTTAATGAAGAAGACGAAGAAATAGTTGACGAAGAACAGTTTAGTGATCACCAATCGAATTCTGAAGAGGAATTAGACTCAAGCAATGGTTCTAGTAATGAATCAAGTATTTCAGTGTCTGCGAATTGTTATTTTGGCAAAGATAAAATCACAAAATGGAGTAAAAAAGAACCAAGACTGGCTGTGATAAATCGTGCTCACAACATCGTGACAAAATTGCCTGGAAATGTTGGTGAAGCAAAGTTTGTGTCTTCCCCAATGAACTCTTGGCAACTGCTTATGGATGAAATAATAGTAAAATTTCTAGTGGATTGTACGAACATTTATATCGAATCCATTGCCATCAAATTTGAAAGAGAGAGAGATGCTCGACATACAAATATCACAGAAATCAGAGCATTTATTGGTCTTCTTTATTTTGGAGGACTCCACAAAGCTTCTCACGTACATGTTCGCGACCTTTGGGCGACTGATGGAACAAGGCTTGACATTTTTCATAGAACAATGCCTTACAAACGTTTTTTTATTTCTAATGAGATGTTTGAGATTTGATGACATACGAGATCGTCCTTCTAGAAGGGAAATTGAAAGACTGGCTCCAATAAGAAATGTTTTTGAAAAGTTCGTTGAAAATTGCAAAAACGTTTACAGTCTTGGTGAATACATCACAACTGATGAAAAATTAGAACCCTTTCATGGAAGATGCTCCTTTCGTCAATACATTCCAAGTAAACCTGCAAAATATGGAATTAAAGTTTTTGCTCTAGTTGATGCAAGGACATTTTACACTTCAAATCTTGAAATTTATGCAGGAAGGCAACCCACAGGGCCATATAGCTTAGAAAATGGTCCTTCTAAAGTAGCCCAGAGGTTGGTGGAGTCTATTTTGAACTCAGGACGAAACCTTACCATTGACAACTGGTATACCAGTTATACCTTGGCAAATGATCTCTTTGAAAAGAAAATTACACTCGTGGGAGCAATCAGAAAAAATAAAAAAGAACTGCCAAAAGAATTTACTAGTGGCAGAAAAAGATAAGTATATTTATCATTATTTGGATTTCAAAAAATATGACATTAGTTTCCTACACACCAAAGAAAAACAAATGCATTGTTCTGTTGTCCACCATACATAATGACAGCGCCATCGATTTTTCAACTGGAGACGCAAAAAGAAAAAAAAAAAAAAAAAAGACAGAAATTATAATTTTTTATAATTTAACAAAGGGTGCTGTAGAAGTAGTACATGAAATGTCATCCACTTATACTACTGCTAGAATTAGCAACAGATAGCCAATGACAATATTCTTCAGTATGTTGAACATTACAGCTATAAATGCTAGAATATTATTGTTATCTGCGAAAATGCCAGCAATGCAATAGAGGAAACGAAGTTTATTTATCAGAGAACTTGCATTAGAACTTTTGAAGGATCACATTCAAGAAAGAAGTTTGCTGCAAAATCTTCCCCGCGCATTGAGTGAAAAATTAAATTGCAAGTATAGGAAAGACTGTGAAGAACACCCGGCAAAAAACCAGAAGTTTTTCAGGAAAAGGTGTTATATGTGTCATAGTGTAAAGGACTGAAAATCACAAATTTGCTGTGCTAAGTGTGAGAAACGTGTGCAGTGAACACAGCACGAATATTTGCAAAAAATGCGAAATGTAAGTTTTATTTTGAACTTATTTCTGTAAAAATTAATATTGCATATATTAGTACTAAATTTCATTTGCGCTAAAAAAGAAATCAGTTTGATTATTATTGTTAATGATAAATAATTTCAGTCTTAAAATTGTTTTAAAATACAATTTTATTAGACTTTTTAAATTTAAATGTATATTTTTGTATTTTATACACTCTATTTTTATTATTTAAATGTTTTTAT